TATTTTCTGTTATATCACCAACGTTTTAAATATAAAAACCTCTTTAATTAACGGAGACTCTAAATTAAGAAATCAACAAGTATTTTTCCAGTGTTGTTGTCTATACATTTTATTTTATACTTTCAGTACATAGACTAACAACAATATTAGGTTATACTTTTGTTGCTAAGCAACATGACATAAAAGTCATTATTGAAACATAGTGTTACCAAAACGCACTGGCTTTTGTATGTATTAGAAGTTGTTTATCTAACTGATTTTTACCAATAATTATTCTACAAATACGCAACGAATTCATTTCATGAATGATGATAATTTTGATTGACTCACAAAACAATTTACTGACGTTTGACTGCCTCTTTGTTGGTCAAACTTGATTTCGCAAAATTTATTAATTTCAGTTAGCTACGAAATGTGAGGTTAGGGTATATGGGGTTGGGATGGTAGGAGTTACCACGTCATTTTTGACGGGCGAGACGCTTGTCATAAAATAACACTAAGTTTTTTATTATACACAAAACTGAGAAAGCTTTCGATGGTAACCTGTTTTTAACTCGTTAATTAACTTATTTTTGCAATCAGAAATCCTAGTTAACAATGCATGTAATCAAACTTTGCATGGTCTTTTATCTCTCTTGTAAACGATGAAACGCTTTGTTGTTGTTGTGAATTGTGTTCTCTAATGTTTAGCTGGGTTGTGAATAAATTAATGTTTTGGGACATGTTCCGCACTTCCGATTGTGATAAGGTTTATAACTGTGAAATTCGATCCCGCTATTCGTTTAAGAGCGGCCACATAGACGACGGGTGATGCTGACTGGTGACCTTTTAAATTAGGAATGGTTACTATGCCTGAACCTTAATTTTTTTTATTTGCTGTATTAGGAAGAAAATATATGTATTAGGCCTGTTAGTTTCCAATGTTTCGTCAGCTTTCGGCGTTTAAACCGTAGCTTACGAAACAAAACTTGTAAAAAATCTAAATGTATATTTTTTTGTTTTGAAACTACGCTTATTTATCTTTGCATATGGCTTGGTTATAAGTTACCCCTACTAACTTTGGTGTATTGTTTATGTGAACACGTACACAATGACACTAAAACTGAAACTCTCTTTAGTCAAGATTACGTGCCATATGTAATGCTGTTAACAATCAATCACTTTACAAACTTAGATAAACTTAAACAATGCATGACATTTATTAGTCTCCCGGTGGGTCAGCAGTAAGTTTAGAGACTTGCAACAACAAAATACGGGTTTTGATTCCCGCAGTGCTCAGAGTACAGATAGTCCATTGTGTAACTTTGCACTAAAACAGTAGTGACGGTGGAATCTATTATGAGCCAGGCGGCGCCCCTAGACAAGATAAAATCTATACTTCTTTTTCCATTATTAATCGTTGTGATAATTTTTTCATCTTAGATTCCTGTTAGTCATTAATTATTCTCGGATATTGGTCATTTTGTAGTGTTTTTACTCTGTTATAAACTTCGTCATAAAATAAATGTCTACGTTTGTAAGAATAAAGGCGCCTTACAACTGCAGGATTATCAGTGGCCCCGTCATGGTGCTATAGGTCTTGCTTGCAGACATTAACTTTCTAACCCTACAATAACTACCGCTCACGTTGGTTCAACTGTTGCTAAGAGACGGGCCAACATAGGCGTTCTTCCCGAACTGAAACAATGACAGCTGCTTTAAAAACAATATCAAGTATCCACTTCATAAAAGTTATGTGACAAATTGTTTGTTTTATGCGTCTTAGTGTGGCCACATTATTGTATCTTTAACACATTTCAGGATTTAAGTGTTTCGAAACTGAAACAATAGTATTCTTATTTTCACTAATAAGACATTTTAGTTGTAAAAGTGACGTACAAACACATGTTCATCATTTACACTATATTACAGTTAAAAGAAATCCACACCCGTTGTGATCACAAGTAAGCCGTTTGTCGTCAGTGCATGTTATGGATATGATCACGTATAGGGTGTTGACTGCCTGTTGTTACTCAGTTTACGTATTTATATTATTGTGTGGATTTAAAATACTCGGGGATATACACTTCGATTGGCGGTACTTTGTGATATGTACATTATTTTAACCATCTGGAGCAGTAGTAGATGTGGCAGTAGAAATAACTATAATTATAACTCTGAATAGTAAGGTGTGAATCATTTCACCTTGAGAAGTAGTAGTTGTGAATTGAACTTGTTAAAGTGTTAGGTTATGAAGATGTCACAATACTTATGTTAATTTCTATAAAAAAAACAATAAAACATTATTATTATTAAGTGTGAGATATTAAAGTCGGATGAACGTGCAACTTAAGGTTATCTGAAATTTTCGTTAAGATTTGTTTAACAAATTTTGTACTCGGTTAAAGATTTGTGGTCTGAAAAATTGATGCTAAGCTTTATACATTTTATTATTTAATATAGTAACTTATTGAAGGAAACTGATGCTCAAAGATAACTTGTCCTTTGGTAATTCAATAACACTAACTTTGTGAATCAACACCGTTTTACTTTGCGATTTGGCGATAGCCATACCAACCTCCCTTTCAAGTGATGATTCATAGACTCGTCCAGACCGCCCGCTTTGCCGCTGGCACACTCACATCACCTGATCGCTTATTGTACAACCACGTTTTGGCTCGCACTCTTGATTTTACTTCGTCTCAATGACGTCAGAGGCTAGTGGAGACTTCCTCCAGAAACAAGGCTTGATAAAACGGTTAAACGAATAGAGTGGCTCACGATTGTCAGGGATTTTGGTTTGTGCTACCATCATTGTTATTTACAGATTTAAATCGAGACTAAAATGAACGTAGCGCATTCAGTGAAGTAATTTTTTGTCATTCAAATGAGAAGAGACTAAACGAGTCAGTTGAGAAATATCAACAGTCATAATAGATCGGTTGATTAATCTAAGTATTTTTAATCAGGCTGTACTCAATTGCGTTCTACATAATAAATATTTCACTGTCGCCCTTTTCCGGCTTTGGGAGTTTAGCAAAAAGGGAGCTCACTCCTACGTAAATGCTTATTTCAGTACTTAAGCTGACTTCATGAAACATTTTTTCAACGGAATGTTTGTTCTCAATTTTGTGTGGTAAGTACGTTTTTGCACGATTTTTTTTTCTTTTCATTTTTTATGAGGCAGTCGTGAAACGGTAGAGAAATACACTTGAAATATTCTCCTGTCTGGCAATATCCACAAATATATACTCACCGTCAACGATATTACTATTAGAACATTTCATTTGCCACGTTAAACAATATTCACAAATGTTTACCAGCTGTGAACATTCTATTGGAAAATTCCATTTACCACATTGTGTTGATAATCATAAGTTTGACGACATTCCAAATAACTAATTTGTATCTTTTCCGTTGAGTTCGATTTTTGTTTTCGAGTTGTAACCTAATTTAAACTTTTAACCGTATTTTTATTTACATCTTTTATCTTTGACAGTAAAGTTGGTAATTTGACATAGAAAACTTTTGTTTTGGTTACAATTTGTTTGGAAATGAGTTAAAACGTTTAACTCATTTTAATAAAATAACTGAGGTAATTCGTTGATGGAAGGCGAAAAAAAATTATTTATTCACATGAACTGTTGAGATAATTATGACATTTTAACCTTTTTAAAGTTTAAGTGTTGTTTTGCCGATGCATTTTAGTTCGATATTTGTCTTTAAATTTGGGGTTTGTTAAATAATCAGAAAATCTGTTCGTCGTAGAACAGCTTTACGTTTAAAATTAAAGTTATTAAACTGATTAACATCACTACTGGGATCGTAAGCCAGTTTATTCACCAATATGTAAAGTGTAAGAATACTGGATGGTATTCAACTATTTTATTAATTAAAAATTGATAAGTAAGTAAGAATATTTTCAGCTTAACGAAATTCATTACAAAGGTTGACAATTTTGTGACTGATTCAGAAATTTTATAAAATTTTCCTTGAACTTGAAGCAGGAGTTCTCTGTTGTAAAATGAGGTAGTTTGAGAAGGACATCTGTCGTTAAACCATTTACAACTTCAGATATGAAGTAAGCCGACGTTTCTTGTAGCTTAACGTAAGCATTAATTTTAAACTTGAACTTACAACTTCAGATATGAAGTAAGCCGACGTTTCTTGTAGCTTAACGTAAGCATTAATTTTAAACTTGAACTTCAGGACTGATCATACTATAGTCTCATCAGCAAATTTAGTTAATACTTTATTTGTTTGTTTATTACAGAGTTATGACTTTGCTAAGATTTTGTGTAGTAATAACTTAAAATTCAATGGCATACCACTACTACAAGTAAAAACAAAATAATTGAGACTAAAGAAAAGCTACTTCGAAATGTAGTATCCGATAAAATTTGACGGTATTCTAAATTTTCTATCATCATAAGTACTGCTTGCTTGTTTTCACACACTATATGAATAATCAATATAAAGTTAGTATTGAAAAATGTTACTTATCTTATTTTGGTAGAAGTATTCACGAGAAATTAAAATAAATGTTGAATTAAGAAAATTTTAAGTCATACTTAATTCATACATTTTTCAAATTTTAGGGCTGTTGTCTTTGTTGCTTTATAACTGTCTGTTTCCAGTCGTTGAACAAAACCGGTTTCGTTGCCATTGTTGCATGTGTGGCAATATCGCTCGTTTCTGAACCCAACACGAGCACTTATTTTAAACTTGAGCGTTCGGACGTGTACCTATTTTAGTTAGGCATATTTCGCTAACTCGTTTTCTTTTTAAACCTAACAAACAAAGTACCAACACTTGGATGATTGTTTCACACACGAAGATTTGATTTTTTCCCCATTTCAGCTAAGGAGATCAGTGCGCTTTTCAGTTTCAACCTGTAGTGGTTCTGTATTGACGTCATAGACCTTGTTTAAAGACTTAATATGTCAACCTCGGTACCCAAAACTAATGCACGTGTATCAGGAGGAAAGCATTACTAATTAGTCCGTTGAATACTTTAAAAGGAGCTTCATGCTACGTACCTTAAGGTATATTTATATCGACATTCACGTTTTTTACGGCCCATAGTATTATAGATAGTACATGTTTTGTTTTTTCAAAATATCGTGAAAAAATGAACAATTTATCTTTGTTTTTCAACAAAGTAATGAATTTGTTTATTTTTACATGTTATTGGCACTTCATGTGCAAGATGTTTACACGAAATTGAGCAGCTGTGTTTTTAAAGCAACTTGGGAATTTTTATTCGGTAATTTCAGTATTTCATATTTAATTAATATTTTCTAGGGCATGTAATTTAATTTAAAGAGTTACCTATTCCAGATGGAAGTATTATCGAGTAAAAACATTTCCAATTAGTTCAGACTAATTAGGAGTGCGTTCTTTACCTTGGGAAATAATTATTGTACCATTAGTTCATTCTTTGATTTTTAGAGTGTCAGCGTGCATCACAATAACACCTCGCCTGCACATGGTTAGTGTGTTTTTTTTTCGCTTGTGACTACAAGTTTTTTGTATAGCATAGTTATAAAATGCTGGTTTTTTACTTGTTTTGGGACCAACGTGCTTTGTTATAAACAACGAACTCTTTTTTTTTTTCACAAGATTTAGTGTATGTTAATAAGTAATGAAATGAATGCCATCAAAAGGTATGCAGGCCTTGTCTTAGGCTTAACAATTTATATACCATTGTTGTTTCATATTATTTGAATTTATACACATTCCTAAAAATAAACTCGTGATTCATTTGGTATTTTTCACATAAATCTTTCATAATTTAATTTTGCACACATTCGGTGTGAGCTACGGAAAGAAACAGTCCACTTTATTCTTTCATGAAAACTGGAATAAACATTTTGTTGAAATCCTGCCAGCTGTACGTAAATATGATTACTTGAATAAACGCCACCTAGTGAGGCGGATTAGCACCTGTCTTTGGAGAGCACGAACTTTTTGAATGTATATCATTTGAGCAGTCGTTGCTTTAGAGGTATGTCCGAGCTTGGTTGGGTTTTTTTAAAGCTGAGACGATGAAAGCGTGTTAGTACTTGTTCTCACGAGTGTGTTTAGTACTTGTTGCCATTCATCGTTAATCTTTTATGTCAGCAAAATCCTGACCACCATGTTTTGTCATTCTAAATACACACATAGTGGCACCCCAGTGTGATTTCTACATAATCCACACCTATCAAATAATAAAAAAACAAACATTCTTTACCCATCCCTTCCACGCTCACTTACTTCTTATATCTTTTCGCATATCTAGTAGGTGTGAATCCTGCTGCATCATGTGGAATGATTCACACCTTACTATTCAGAGTTATAATTATAGTTATTTCTACTGCCATATCTACTACTGCTCCAGATTGGCAGGATTCACACCTACTATTGTATCATGTGGAATGATTCATACCTTACCATTCAGAGTTATAATTATAGTTATTTCTACTGCCATATCTACTACTGCTCCAGATGGCAGGATTCACACCTACTATTGTATCATGTGGAATGATTCACACCTTACTATTCAGAGTTATAATTATAGTTATTTCTACTGCCACATCTACTACTGCTCCAGATGGCAGGATTCACACCTACTATTGTATCATGTGGAATGATTCACACCTTACTATTCAGAGTTATAATTATAGTTATTTCTACTGCCACATCTACTACTGCTCCAGATGGCAGGATTCACACCTACTATTGTATCATGTGGAATGATTCACACCTTACTATTCAGAGTTATAATTATAGTTATTTCTACTGCCACATCTACTACTGCTCCAGATGGCAGGATTCACACCTAGTA